CGCACCCTTTGTTGAATCATCACTTCTTCGAACATCATAGGGGGGCTGCTGCCCCCCTCGCCAATTTTTAGAATGTTTACAGAGATTAACGCACCCTTTGTTAAATCATCGCTTCTTCGAACATCATAGGGGGGCTGCTGCCCCCTCGCCGATTTTTAGAATGTTTACAGAGATTAACGCACCCTTTGTTGAATCATCACTTCTTCGAACATCATAGGGGGGCTGCCGCCCCCCCCTCGGTGATTTTTAGAATGCTTACAGAGATTAACACACCACAACGCACCCTTTGTTGAATCATCACTTCCTTGAACATCGTGGGGGGGCTGATTTTTAGACTGTTTACAGAGAGGGGCTGCTGGTTTTTAGAAGATTTGAAGAGATTTGCGCGCTCTTTGCTGAATCATCATTTCTTTGATCATCATGGGGGGGCTTAACGCGCCATCGTGGGGGTGGGGGGGGCTGCCTTGCTGAATCATCACTTCTTCGATCATCATGGGGGGGCTGCCGCCCCCCCCAAACCCCTTCACTGGTTATTAGAATGCTTGCAGAGATCCACACTTTTTCGAACATTATGGGGGGGTTTGCCCCCCCCCCCCCCCAGCCCCCCCCGCTGATTTTTTGGAATGTTTTCAGAGCTTTACCTGTTGGAATCATCACTTCTTCGAAATCATGGGGGGGCTGCCGGCCCCCCCCCCCCCCAACCCCGCTGGGTTTTAGAATGCTTACAGGGATTAACGCACCCTTTGTTGAATCATCAGTTCATGGGGGGCGACACCCCCCCCCCCCCCAGCCCCCCCGCTGATTTTGAGAATGTTTACAGAGGTTAACGCACATGAATTCTTCGATCATCATAGGGGGGGCTGCCGCCCCAACCCCCCCGCTGGTTTTCAGAATGCTTACAGAGATTAACGCGCCCTTTGTTGATACATCACTTCTTCGATCATCATAGGGGGGCTGCCGCCCCCCCCTGAACCCCCCCGCTGGTTTTCAGAATTCTTACAGAGATTTACGCGCCATAACGCACCCTTTGTTGAATCATCACTTGTTTGAAGATTGTGGGGGGGCTGCTTTGCTGAATCATCCCTTCTTCTAACAACATAGGGGGGGCGGCAGCCCCCCCCACCCCACCCCCCGCTGATTTTAGAATGTTTACAGAGATTAACGTACCCTTTGTTGAATCATCACTTCTTTGAACAGCATGGGGGGCTGCCGCCCCGCCTGAACCCCCACGCGGGCTTTTAGAAGATTTGCAGAGAAATGCGCGCTCTTTGTTGAATCATCACATCCTCGATGTTTCTTTCTTTCTTTCTTTCTTCTTTCTTTCTTGGATCAGGCTTCGAAGACCTTGATGAGACTGCTTGGCATGGGGCCCATCACATTGGCAGTGCGGCATGTTGGCATGAGCTCCCCCTCGCCCTTTCATGCGGCGGGGTGCTGGGGCGGATCCCTCAATGTTTGTCCTTCGCCTGGCTGGACTCTCTTCCAAAACCAGCAGCGACCTCTCGGTATTTTGTTACCAGGAGGTAGGCGGGGATGAGGTATTCTCCTTCCTTGCTTCCTTCCTTCCTTCCTTCCTCCCTCCCTCCCTCCCTTCCTTCCTTCCTTCCTTCCTTCCTTCCTTCCTTCCTTCCTTCCTTCCTTCCTTCCTTCCTTCCTTCCTTCCTTCCTTCCTTCCTTCCTTCCTTCTTTTCTCTCTCCGTCGCTCTCTCTTCCTTTCTCTTTCTCTTTCTCTTTCTGCATGTTTATTTCGCTGCATCTTTCTCTTCATTGCTTGCGAAAGTGCTGCGCCCGCCACAAACTCTGCACCGTACCTGACCTTGCGAAGGTGCTGCGCCTGCCGCGAAATCTGTGCCATAACTTGCGAAACCTTGCGAAAGTGCTGCGCCTGCCGCAAAACCTGTACCTGACCTTGCGAAAGTGCTGCACCTGCCACGAAATCTGTACCTGACCTTGCGAGAGTGCTTCGCATGCCACGAAATGAAGAAGTTTTTGTTGATCCCTGACAAGTTTTTGTTTGATACTCTTAGTATTCATTTGAATAGGAAATCTAAGAGAAATTGTTTGACCCCTAATAAGTTTTTTTGATCTTCAGGAATAATGTTTTTTGATGCCCAACAAGTTTTTTTGATCCCTCACCCACAACTGCGTTCCTCCCACGTCCAAGATTCCAAGAACTCGATTGCGACCTTTTGCTTTTCCACTGTTTTACTCTTAATCGATAGGTCCCAAAGGTAAAAGCCGCAATTTCGTCCCTATCGATAGGGGCAGGCGAGACTGACACCACGCACAAGGCGTGAACCAGGAATTCGCTTCAGCTTGAGCCTGTGCATGACTTCACTTCTTCAAACACACCGAGCGCGGCTGTGCGCTCGCGGGGTCCAAATCCCGTGTCCGAATACGTGGACTGCGCGATGGTAGGAAGACTTGGACAACTTGTAAAAGTTTGGACTAGTGTCTTATGTGCTTTGGGAGCGGCAAGAAGGAGGACCTGATTTGACCAGAAAACCCAGACACCCAATGCTCCCATGGCCCTCTGGGACACATCTCGTAGGCCCGGACGTCCAGCGCCCGGGGCTTCAACACTCAAAATGCTGTGCTTTCCCTACCGCAGGATTGCACAGGTCTCCTCAAAGCGGTTTGGTTGATAAAGGTGAATACCTCTGGTTTTTGCTTAGCTTTTGTGTACAGGTGGGGGAATTCCAATGATAGTGCAGATGGGCGTTGCTGAGCTCATGATGCATTTGTGTCATTTTGTGTCTTGACATGATGCTGCATGGATTTGTTGTGTACTTTCTGTAGGTGTACCTATAGATAGATAGATAGATAGATAGATAGATAGATAGATAGATAGATAGATAGATAGATAGATAGATAGATAGATAGATAGATAGATAGATAGTAGATAGATATAGATATAGATATAGATATAGATATAGATATAGATATAGATATAGATATTATTTATTTATTTATTTATTTATGTATTTATTTATTTATGTATTTATTTATTTATTTATTTATTTATTTATTTGTTTATTTATATATATATACAATTTGAGGACGACCTCCCTTCTTGCAGCCCTTTTGTTTGCTGTTGCCAGGGCTCCATGTGCTTGAAACAGCAGGCGTTGCGTTTTCTGGGCAATGTGCGAAACCCTCCTCAACTACACCCGAAAGACCGCCCAAGAAGATGGGTGGGGGGAGCAGAGTTGAGCTGGGTGTTGCGAAAATCCCTCTAAAACCTTGGACATCCGGGCCTGCTGTCCTCATGTATTTTCCACTTGACGGACACCCCTGGGTCCTGGGCTCGAAACCTGCTTCCAGAAATAGGTCTGCTCGTTTCCAGCCGCATGCGCTCACTTTCACACGAGGGCTGCAGGCACCGCCGTATCTACTCCCATCTACCTCGCCATGTCGTTGTTTTTCTTTTGGGGACATCCCATGGTACTTCGCTCGGCATCTGGCTGGCCCAGCCGCCCCATGGCTCGCACACCCTGTCCTGCCCCCTGAGCGCTTTGGGGGGTGGTGCCGTGAATGTCAGCATCTGCCGGGGCGAGAAGACCTGGCACCTGCCGGCCAAAATTCGTATGCCGCCAGTGCTGCAGGCATTGTTTACCGGTGCGCATCCAAGGTTCGTCAGTTTCGGGCTTGCCATGCGCCCTCAGAGTCCCCAGCCACCGTCTGTCTGCAAGGCTCCAGCTGTTCTCTGATTCTGTGAACTTGGCCCAGCGCACGCAGGTACTTGGCTCACCATCATAGCTGACCGATGATGCTGCAGTCTTGCGCCTCCCCGCCTCTACACATCCAAGTGCTGGCGTGCTGCCGGCTAATCGCAACATTCTTGGTGCCACACGAGCACCCGCACGCCACAAACTGCTCGCAGTCGCCATTGCCCCCCCCCACACACATGCCACCTTCGCTGAAATCGTGAAGGCGGCCATTCTGACTTGGTGGGTAGAGGAGACGCATATTGCAGCTCTTGGACTAGTGATTTATACCGGTTTGTACATATACATATGTACGTATATTGTATATCATGTATCACGGTTGGGTGAGCACTTCTGCGTGCTTATGAGCACTTTCCTTTCAATTGGCAAACCTGGAAATGGCCGAGTTCTCTTGCTGTTGCCTAGCTTGGCAGGCTTCTTGCGACAAGGGCAGGGGCCAGCACGCATTTTCAGCCAAGGATTCGACGCCATTTGTAGGAGGACTGCCAGGTTGCAGGTGAAATGCATGTACATGGCCTTCATGAGCGGCTTCCTTTGGTTTCGAGACAAGCTTCCAACCAGTCGGCTCCTTACCATGGGCTCTTTAGGGGCGCAGATGCTATGTCTGCACATGCTCTTTTTTTTGCCCCTGCTTCGGGGACCTCGAGTCCAAATGCCAAATACCCTGTTTTCGTGGGTATGATGCAAGCCCCCGGCTCCCAAAGGAGATATTCACCACGGAGAGAAGCGACAAAAGCAAACAAACCCTGACAACAGCGAGTCTTTGGAGTAGGGGGCGTGCATGAGGGTGGTGAGACCTGGGGTTGCCCCAGAATGTCCGACTCGGACGTTGGACATTAGGATTTGCGCCTCCCGTCCACGTCGGAGCGCGCCGGAGAGGGGTGTACCCTTGGAAAAAGACCGGCTGGTGGTTGACAGCTTTTTGCAACTTTTTGTGAGAAAATTGGCGACCTCCTAATTCAGGAATGCTTCACAAGGGGGTCGATCATTTTTTCACCAAAGGTGGCAAAAAAAGAACCCGGGGTGGTTGACAGGGGGCGTGTAGTCTCTCCCAAACGCAAGGGAACCAACTTTGGGAGAGGCCTACACCGGGCAATACGTGACCCAAAGCACCATCGCACTGCTTCTTGAGGTAGCCGGCCATGAGCTTTGAGTGGGACCACCTTTCTATGGTTGGCATGAACAAGGGTTTACCAATCCGGGAACAACATTGTGTCCCTCCCTTGGCGGGTTCTTGGAACGACAGCGCGTAAATCTTAGCGATGTGTTTAAATGATGTCCACCTTTGAGTCCCTCATCAAAGATGATCTTACCCTGCCGATTTGGAGGTACGCGTCTGCGCCCAACAGCTCCAGCCCCCTTGCCTCGCGGGCCCTATCCTCGCTGCGCCAGGCTCGCCGGAGATTTCGAAATGTTGAAATCTGCCTGGCCGAATCTTCCCGGTTCCGCGGAGTCCGGCAACCCCTGTTTTTTAGGCGCCCCAACAGTGGCGTGTGCGCGCGCGGGTTGGTGGGTAGGTGGGTGGGTGGGCGGGCGGGCGGGTGGGTGGGTGGGTGGGTGGGTGGGTGTGGGTGGGTGTGGGGGGTGTGGGCGGGGGTGTGGGCGGAGGTGTGGGCGGAGGTGTGGGCGGAGGTGTGGGCGGAGGTGTGGGCGGAGGTGTGGGCGGAGGTGTGGGCGGAGGTGTGGGCGGAGGTGTGGGCGGGCGTGTGGGCGGGCGTGTGGGCGGGCGTGTGGGCGGGCGTGTGGGCGGGCGTGTGGGCGGGCGTGTGGGCGGGGCGTGTGGGCAAGCGTGTGGGCAAGCGTGTGGGCAAGCGTGTGGGCAAGCGTGTGGGCAAGCGTGTGGGCAAGCGCGTGGGCAAGCGTGTGGGCAAGCGTGTGGGCAAGCGTGTGGGCAAGCGTGTGGGCAAGCGTGTGGGCAAGCGTGTGGGCAAGCGTGTGGGCAAGCGTGTGGGCAAGCGTGTGGGCAAGCGTGTGGGCAAGCGTGTGGGCAAGCGTGTGGGC